GGTAGAGTGCCAGCCTTGAGCTGAAGAGCTGAGGGACAGCGCCCAGGCCCAGAGTTCAGGCCCCACGACTGGACCAAAAAAAAACAAAAAACAAAAAAAATTAATAGAAATAAATAAAATATTACTTTATTATTAGGTTCAGATAGTATGATTTTGTTTCATTTTAAAAACTTAAATGTTTTATTTAATATTTTTGTTAATAATACTACTAAAAATTCTTTATAAATATTAACTCATTTAATACTCTTAGTAAACCTGGGAGGTAAATACTATTGTGTTTATTTTACTGATGAAACTAAGAAATAGAGAAGTTGAGTAATTTACTCAGTCATAAGCTGTTGTGGTTCCTACTCAGGTAGTCTAGCTTCAGAAGCTTTGTTCTTAATCATTATGCTATATTGCCTCAATTCCTTTATAAGACAAAGACACTGTCTAGAAGCTAGTGGCATATATTAAGTGTCCAACATTATACTAGATATTATAAGAAATATAAAACAATTGTAAGGCTGGGCACTGGTGGCTCATGCCTGTAATCCTAGCTACTCAGGAAGCTGAGATCTGAGGATCATCTTTCAAAGCCAGCCTGGGCAGGAAAGTCCAGGAGACTCTTATCTCCAGTTAACCACCAGAAAACTGGAAGTGGTACTGTGGACCAAGTGGTAGAACACTCACTTTGAGCTGAAGAGGGACAGTGCCCATGCCCAGAGTTCAAGCCCCACAACTGACAAAAATAATAATAATAATAGTAAGCCTTTCTTTGAGTTTATAACCTGGTTGGGGAAAAGATAATAGCAATTAATATGGTGACTATTAAATCATTGTCTACCAGAAAACTTTCAATAACTAGCAAAATACGCACTTGTTTTTTAAATTTCCCATGTATAGCATAAAATACAGTGCCTAGTAGACATGCAATTAATATGAATGAATATGAATGATCTTAAATGTTAGTGCCTATACAATGAACAGACCTAGGTTACTATAATCTATAACCCAGGTTGTTGTTATATTTAGAGAGAGAATTCCTTGCTATTCCACTTAGTGGGATTGTCATCTTGACTAGAGATACCAAACAGTATTTTGACAACCTTTCTTTTTTGTTTTTCATTATTGCTATGGGGATTGGTTAATTTGATTTTTTTTTCTTTTGTATGATTCAGTGGAGCAGCGTGACTTCATTGGAGTGGACAGCACAGGAAAGAGGCTGCTCTTTATGGCTAATGAAGCAGACTTGGATGAAGAGTTGGTCATTAAGGGATCCATCCTGCAGAAGTAAGCCCTAAGGATTGCCTTCTTGGCAATTCTCCTTGTCTTAAAACAAAATAAAACCACCCACCATGGGGAAGAGGGAATGAAAACTAGATGATACTGTGTGAAACTGACAAAAGTATGTGAATGTTTTTTCCATAAGACAGGATGAAGGCTTTTCTTCACTTCATGAGCTTAGCTTTCCCTATCTTTTCTTGACAAGGTAGCACCACATCTTGCATAGGAGTAGGGCAAAAAGCATCTGTGGACAAAAGACTAGTTTCTTTAAAAAAAATAGTAAAGCATGAAATTTATCATATTCTCTTTTTTTTTCTTTTCAAGTTGAGGGTATAATGCTTCTGGCTTGCTAGGAAGGCATTCTACTGCTTGAATCACACCTCTAGCCCTTTTTTCTCTGGTTATTTTCTCTGATATTTTTGGCTGGACCAGGATCCTCCTGTTTGCACTTTCTACTATAACTGGGATGACAAGCATGTTTTTGTTGTTGTTGTTACTGTTGAATTGGGGTCCTCTGAAACTTCCTTATCTAATCAACTAAGAATCATGATCCTTCCAATCTCAGCCACTCATATAGCTGGATTGATGGGTACATATCACCATGCCTTATTATTACTTGGGATGGGATCTCACAAAATCTTTTTTTTTTTGGCTGGTCCTGGGGCTTGAATTCAGGGCCTGGGCTTTGACCCTGAGCCTTTTTGTGCTCAAGGCTAGCAATCTACTGCTTGAGCTATAACACCACTTCCAGCTTTTTCTTTTTT